CTCCATAAACAACTTGAGGTCATCCGCATATAAAAGTTTCTCGCATGATAGACCATCAACAATATCATTAACAAACAGAAGAAACAATAATGGACCTAAGTTCGACCCTTGCGGCACACCAGAGGTAGGAGAAAATGGTTGTGAATAAAAGTTACGATATTTAACGACTTGGACTCTGTTCGTTAGATATGAACGGAAAAAGTTGATCAGAGGAGTAGAAAATCCAAACTGTTGTAATTTAGCAATCAAGACATAATGATCAATTTGGTCAAATGCTTTACGAAAATCCGTGTAAATAGTGTCAACTTGACCCCTATTATCAAGACAAACAGAAACATATTGAGAGAAACACGCCAGGTTTGTAATCGTAGATCTACCCTGATAAAAACCATGTTGATATTCAGTTATATGAGATTTGACAGCAGAATAAATGTATTTATACAGAACAGTCTCAAATGTTTCTGCAAAATTACATAACAAACTAATGGGTCTATACTTATCAATATCAGAGACATCACCTGCTTTGAATACCCGGCAGATACAAGTCTTTTTCCAACAATCAGGCATTTTACATTGCTTTAATATGAGATTAAAGATCTTTAGCAAGGGATGGGCAAAGATACATGCACAGTCACTCAGGAGGAAACTAGGAATGCCATCCAACCCAGCAGTACAAGAATTCTTTGACTTTTTCAAGGCTAGAAAAACATCATTTTCAGTTAGAGAATCAATAGATACAAATAGTTGACTCGACTTGTCAAAGGCAAAAGAGGGACATATATCATCATTGGAGGCAATGTATACATTATTAAAGTACTCACCAAACGCGTTTACAATTTCCTCTGGTGAAGTAAGTTGTGAGTCATTAAAATGCATCACCCCAGGAATCCTAGTACCCCCCTTTTTAGATTGAACAAATGCCCAAAACGATTTAGGGTCCGTTGAGATATTGTTCTCAATTCTGTGAATATATTCTTTGTACGACGCCTTAATAAGATGCTTACACCGAGAACGATACAATTTAAATAAATTCCTGTAATAATCAGTTTTGCGTTTTCTATACAGCCTGTGACAAGCATCCTTAATGGAAGATCATGGTACCTTCAAACTCAAACTCACGATCGCTGCCGTGAAAAGACCGAAAGAATGTTGCAAGCTGAAGAACAAATTTTGGAACGCGTCGAAGATGAGCCCGACATGAGCACTCGCTTACTTGCAGCTGAAGTTAGAGTTTCACAGTTTATAGTGCAGAGTATATTAAAAGCACAAGGCCTAGATCCACATCACGTTCAAAAAGTGCAAGTTTTAGAGCATGGTTTTGTAAATGACCGTTTAATTGGACCTTATGTTTTACCAAAGAGACTAAACGCGGCACAATACCTTGAGTTTTTAAACAATGTGTTGGAAGAGCAGCTAGCTGTGAAGCACCACATTTTGCTAGGCTAGTAACGGAATGGCTAAATAACGGTAGAAACGGCCCAATAGCTTGGCCTCCGCGTTCACCCGATCTTAATCTGTGTGATTTTTATCTATGGGGTTGGATGAAACAGTCAGTTTATGGAAATCAAATTGTTATAAATTGTTAGACACTCTATATAAGAAATAACGGTTTAAGATCCATTTAGCACAAATTTAAAACATTTTGAAAATATTGTAATAATGGGCCAAAAGTTGGAAATATGAAATATGAAATATCGAGATCATTTCCATGCCGTGGATCAAATTTTCTTGAAAAAATTATTATTAATAAATTCATTTCAGGGTAGTTTTCCCTAATAAGCCCGGCCTCAACGCATCACAACATCAAGCCACCATAGTTCCGACCCCCATAAAACATCCTCCTCTTATAGTTTCATAAGTGAGTCTAAATGAAGGGTTAGCTGACGACACCCGTAACTAATTACGTCATGTGTGCGCCTCCCATAAACAGAAGCCAGTCCGTTTATTAAAATATTTTCAATATAAATAAGGGCGGCACGGCTCATTAGAATGATTAAATTTGCATAGATTTCACGGTAGGGCGAGCGCGTGAACGCTCCTTTATCCGATTTACGGTCGTATCGGTCGTAACTCAAAGACGTTAGCAACATACACTTGTGAAACGTCATATATCACAAGGCTTATTCTTTTTTTCGCGAGCGTTGTGTTGCCGGTAACAGGACGGGCGATAAATTTTAAACTTCACCCCTTTCGAACGGATACAATTCCGAATCAATTCCATTCCAATAAATATTGATTTACGAACTGATAGCTGTGAAAAAAGTGGTTTATTTCGCTATAATGCGTCACATAAATCGCAAACGTGGGCCATAAAGTGGCCCGCGGGAGGGATACGCTAATGTGAACGGATCAAGATTATGGCACGAATGGGAAATGGCGCTTTAGTGTTTGATGTCACAATTAAATGGTAAAAAATCGAAAAAAACTTGTCTTATAAGTAAAGATCTCGCAAATATTGCATTAAATTCTTATATGGTTGACACATGATAGTAAAAAGAAAGATTTATGAAAGGCTACGGAATAATGCGACGTTGCCACGTTATTCCACTCTCAAAAAGTAAGAAATATGCTGGTCTTAGAATGGAATCTTGAGTGAATGCCCAGACTTTATCAAAAACGATCTCATAATTTGTCAATGAATTTCACAATGTGTCCTGAACTAATTTAACGTCCCGCCACCACTCAACCACTGCCGTCGTTACACAGGAAACATTGAATTATTAATATAAGATCATGAAAGCACGTGGCGCAGGCAAAAACGGACGACACAGGTTACGTTTGCAATTCACCGGAACAAAACGCCATAATTGGATTCATTCGGGGCCTATTATGGATTTATTCGAATGGATGGAAAAACGGACGCCGATGCAAATTGTTATTTATTCAATTCTGGACAATTTATTCAAATCAAATCAAATATTAAAAGTTAAACAACATCAAAGGGTAAATATTATTTTAAGTGAGGGTTACCGTGACATGACAACATTTACATGGGATTTGCATATACGGAGACCCAAAATAAATCTCGAACACCAACACTCGATACGAGGGGGAGATCACAAAAGAACCGCAAGACTATTACAGGGAGATCAAACGTTGCAGCGTTATTTTGATTTTACGTTATTATTAGGCTTCGGACCTTAGGTTCTTTGCCTTTTTATGTCTACTTCAGGCATTGCAACAAAATTTATATATTTATCCGAATTTAAAAAATTCTGTTTATTTAACGCCCATTTATTACCACCTAAAATACCTAATTTGCCGTTAGACACCTAATTGTAAATTTTAAAAGACTTAAAATAGGATTCCAGGACCAACGAAGCGGACGTGCTTGCACAATAGAGATTTTCCGTGAATTCAAGCAAAAGCATTTTATTTTAGAAGTTTATTGCTAGTGATACTGAGTGTGCTGGGGCCGGTTTTGATTTTTTTGCATACAGTAAAATATCCTCAAAATACCTAAGGTAAAATCATCCATGAAAGATAAAATATGAAAAAGATAAACTGATGAAAAAACGAAACTGAAAATTTGCCTGCATACAAAAAACTGTAAGAACTATGAATACAAAGAGCATGGACAGATCTTGATGAAAAATAAAGAATGGCTATACCTACAATCAAAAATTCGTCCTTGGAACCCCAAAGGACATGAGACCCTAACAAATTTCAAAGATAAAACAGGAAACTCCTTTAAGGAGTTATTTGAAGAAAGAGGTAATACGAGAGAATTCAAATTATCATTTAATCACACCCAAAAACTCTTCTTTGAACTCCAACCCTAACAAACAGAACATGATAAAAAAGATGGTAAAGACAAAATATGAAATATCAAAAAGTAGAAAGAGCAATTTAAGGAATTGCTGAGAGGTAATATGCTACAATTCAGAACAAAACCAAAATCTATTCGTTCTAAATATACATGCACCGACATAAGAAAAAGAAGATAATGTTAAGGATGCATTCTATGACGAAATGAACAGAGTTATCGACAAAATACCAAAAAGAGATATCATAATTATAATGGGAGACAGAGATGCAAAAGTAGGGAGTGAAGAAATATATAAAGAAATAGTAGGAAAACACAGCAAGCATGAATAATCAAACAACAATGGTCTAAGATTCATCGACTTGGCTATAGAAAGAAATATGAAAATAGTAAGTACACAATTCCAACGAAAAGACATACACTAGGGGACATGGATGATTCCAGGAAGACAAGAAACAAACCAGACTGATCACGTACTGATCCAAGAAAAACACTCTAGATTAATAATATCAGTGAAAACCTGTTGAAGGGCCTACACAGATTCAGACCACTTTTTGGTAAGGGCAAAGCTAAAGCAATGGAAAGGGGAAGACAAAGAACGCAGGAGGAATCACGAAGTAAGGTATACTACAGAAGAATTGCAAGCACAGGAAATCAAAACAAAATATGAAGCAGATATAGAAAGGAACCTCGAAAAGGAAGATCTTTGAAAAGAAAAAAATATAAATACCAAATGGAACAATATAGAACGAATAGTACCAAAAGCGACAAAAAGACATGTGAGTAAAACAATATCAAGAGAAAGGAAAGAATGGTTAGACGAAGAATACGAAGCAGAAATAAGACATACAAAATTACTCAGAATGATAATGCTGCAGATAAGAAACGAAGAAAGTACAAGAAATTATAACAGTCAAAGAAAGATAGTTAAGCAAATATGGCGCAGGAAAAAAAATGATCTTTTAGAAAAACAAATAAAAACTATAGGGGAAGCATACCAGAAGAAAGAGATAAGAAACTTTTTAAAGACATACAAAACGTAAAGTCAACAAAACACGAATCTACGCAATATATAAAAAACAGAGAAGGCAACTTAATAGGCGACGATGAAGAAAAATTAAAAAGATGGGAACAGTACTTCAAACAAATATTAAATAGCGAAATCAGAGGAGATGAGAGAGAAGAGCAAAAACAAGTACCAAAAAAATGAACTTTAAGTAATGAAAGTATAGCAATGCCAACAAGAGAAAAGATAGAGGAGATCATAAATCAGATGAGGATTAACAAAAGCCCAGGGAGCAATGAAATTGCAAAAGAAAGCCCAAAATATGGAAGTGAAAAACTGAAAGACGATATCCAGCTGGTAATAAAGCAAGTTTGGGAAACTGAAGAAATGCCGCATAGCTGGAAAGAACCACTAATAACACCGCTCTTTAAAAAATGTGACAGAAGAAGCTGCGAAAACTACCGTGGCAATGCTTTATTAGACGTTACGTACAAACAGTGGCATCGATAATAAAAAGAAGACCTGAAGGATATATGGAAGAAGCTCTAGGAGAATATCAAGGAGGCTTTCGAGAAGGAAGAGGGAGAATCGATCAAATATTTGTGTTGAAACAAATCATAGTAGGAAACTACGAAATGAAATTCCTACTCATTTACTCTTCGTGGACTTCAAAAAAGATTACCATACGGTGAATAGGACGAAGTTGATAAACATATTGTGAGAACTAAAAATGACATTGAAAAACACAATAAGCAGGGTAACAGTAAAAGGAAAAACCAGCGACAGTTTCAATGTTAAACAAGGACTCAGACAAGGTGATCCGTTGTCAACAACTCTATTCAATCTGGTTCTAGAGGGTATTATAAGGAAAAGTGATATAAACAGGAAGGGTCTACTATTCAATAGAAGCCATCAATGTCTAGCCTACGCAGACGATTTAATCCTACTAGTTACGAACAGAAAGGAATTAGAAAGGATAATAGCAAAGCTAATGAGACAAGCAGAAGAGGTCGACTTGTGGTCGAACTGTGGGAGTAGAAACAAAAACAACCTACAAATGGACAGACAAAAAGGAATAAAAGTAGAATTTGAAGAAGTAGAAATATTGATGTACTTAGGGGTGTTGATAACCAACAAATGCCAAGAAGACAAAGAAATAGAACTGAGAGTTGCTAAAAGTAACAACTGTGCAGGAGGTTTAAGAAAAATTATGAAAAGTAAAGAAAAATCAAGGTAAACAAAACTAAGAATAGATAAAACCATAGTGAGACCAATCTTAACATACGCGTGCGTGGCATGGATTATGACAAATAAAATGAAACAAAGACTGGAAATTTGGGAAAGGAAGATACTTAGAAAAATCCTTGGAGGGAAACAAACAGAAAACAGATGGGAAAGAAGAACTAATGTAGAAATATATGATTTATATAATGACAAAGTTGTAAGCAATTTCATAAAAATAAAAAGATTGCAATGGTTAGGACACCTAGAAAGAATAACCCAAGAAAGAAAAGTTAAAATGGTGGTGTGGAAAATTCCGGAGAGCAAAAGGAAAAGAGTCAGACCAAGGGAGAAGTGGAAAGACGCGATACAGGAAGACCTAACAGAAAAACAAAAACAGGACTGGAGGAAGAACGCAAAAAAACTAAAGGAATGGAGACTCATCTCAAAGCTATGCCTGCGAGAAGTTTAATATGTATACATATATACAATTCAGAACAAGATAAGGGCAGAGGAAAGTTATAAAGACTCCAGAACAATAAGAATAAACCCAAGACGCACACAAAACGATAAGAATCGTTCCTTCGACGAATTACAAGAAGAAATAGACAAAAGCAGTAAAAAAATAATTACAGTTGAAGACCCAAACAGAAAGATCTGGAACAAAGGGAAATATGGCGAAAAGGTTGAAAATACCAAATGTAGAAAATAGAATGATCCAAAAATCAGAAATACAAATTTTAACCACACAAACAATTGTTTCCCAAACCACAACGAGAATTCAAATTCAGGAGTGATAGAAGAAACGGAACAAGAAGTACCACAAGCCCCAAAATATATCAAAGATGAAAAAGGAAAGGTGTAGAGGAAAAAATAAAAATCATGAAAAAGTGAAGACAGCACTTTGAGAAGTTGTTCGAAGGAAAAGGTGTAATATGCAACAACTTAGATCAACATAAAGCAAGAGGAAAATTATGAAGACTAAGCAATAACAGTAGGATATGGATAAAACCAACACTCACCCAAAAAAATTAGAGGAAGAAGTCGACAAAAGCAACAATAAAATAATTAAAAGTTCAAAAATATCAATGAAGAAAAAACAATAGAAATCTGCTTAGAGAATGAGCTAAATAACAGAAATTTAGGATTAGATTAGGAAACATTTTAACAAAAAAATGTTTCCTAATCAAGAATGAAATTTAGAAAAAAATACAAGACGTAAAAGTGAGGAAAGGGTCAGAAGTAGGACACGAGCATTTTATTTTCAAAATGAAATTTAAGCAAGCCGAAACAGAAATTTCGAAGAAAAGAAAAAGGTAGAAAACAAGAAAATGAAATGGTAACTGCAAAAGTTTCAAGAGGAAATATGAAAACGATAAACTGCCGACCAACAAGAGTAAAAACGGCAATTAAAAATAAAAAATGAAACCGAAAATGTGTTTGTACACAAAAAACTGTAGGGATTAGGAAATATACAGAAATCCAACAAGTCAAGTTAAAACTATACCTAGTAAAAGAAGGGAAAGAGACAGCATGGAAACATCTCGACGAAAAATAAAGAATGCCTATATAGTCAAAATCAGAAATGAGTCTTTGGAAACCTAAAGAACATGAAATGGAAGAAGTTTTCAACCCTAACAAATATCAAAAACAAAACAGGAAAAATGACAAAGGAAGAAGATGGAAAATTGGAGAAAATCCTTTAAAGAGTTATTTGAAGAATGAAATATAATATGAAAGAATTCAAATTGAAGAATAATAGAAGAAACAGAACGAAAAGTACCACAATACGAAAGAATGCAAAGTCCTAACAAATATCAACGATTAACAGGGAAAGGTGATAGAGAAAGAAACTAGCGAAGAATATTGAAGAGAACACTTTAAGGATTTGCTCGAAAAAAAAAGATGTAATACGCTAGAATTCAGATGAACACCAAAAAAAATATTAAGACTATAGAACAACAGTAGAAAATGGATAAAATCAAGGTGCAGCCAAAAAGTTAAGGATTCTTCGAAGAATTACAAGAAAAAGTAGATAGAAGCAGCAACAAAATAATTGCAACTGGAGACCTAAGCAGAAAGGTTTGGAACAAAATCTATGGAACAGAAAGGTATTTTGGGGAACGATGCAGAAAAAGTTAAAAACATCTATGTAGAAAATATAACACAAATTTTATTATTAGTATTATTACATAATTATCGAGCAGAGGAAAAAACCTATTATGCTCATCCGAAGGAACAAAATACAGCAGCTAGATAATTACTGCTTGTCTCCAAGAGAAGAGTGTTCTCGTTAGTGTATATTATGGTACGGGCTTATGAACATGATTTTTTTGTATAATTGTAAAAACTATCACACTATTTGAATTTATACTTTCTACATCCAGACTATTCCAAAATTTAAACACACGACTGGTTCGAAATTGCTGTCGCCATTTCTTTCTATATTTTTCATGAAAAAGCTTTTTAGAGTTACCACGAAGGTGGAATACATCAGCAAGAACGAAGATGGGGGAAAAATCTACACTAAGCTTTATGATTATTATTAATAGTGTAGTATATTATATCAGGGTTGTTTTTGGCCAAACGCATAAAAAACACTTGTGAATGTTTAATGGCATTAGCCAGATGCGAGTCCAGCTGTAAGATACTGAAAGGTCATCTTGAATAATCTACGAACATGTTGATGGGTTAGCTAGGGGGAGGCCAGAGGATGTTGAACCTCCCCTAGAGAAATTTTTGTCTCACCTATCTCTAGACAAGTTATAATTAACCAGATGTGAATTAAAACATCGAAAATAAAAATAAAATGCAATGTTTTATTTAATAAGCAGAAATCAGAGCAACAAAAATGTCTGGACCATCGACATTGTGATCTGGTTATTGCACTTCGTAGAAAATATCATTTAGTTTAGTTTCGCAGTTTCACTCTCACATATGTATGAAACCTCGACAAGCGTTATCGCTATTTGTCTTAAATTACGAGTACTATAAACGATTTTCAGTTCATTCTTCAGTCGCTCCTCTGCTATTACACACAGTAGACATAATTAAAATTGACAATAGAAGGAAAACTACTTAATGGCATTAAAAAGACATTTCTAGGAAAGAAAGAAATACAAAAAAAAAACTAGAGTACTCGAGCAGAAACCTGTACTTTGATAGAGAGGCAAAGAAAGGAGATGATAGTTTTGAAAATGAGATTTATTAAAAAATAGAAATGAGGATTAAAATGGAAAGAATCAAAAACACAACGGACAGAGAGAATCTGAAAGTAAAGGAAAAAGAAAAAAATGAGAGACAATAACATAGTGAGACAAGCGAAAGGCTAGCCAAGAATAACATGGATTAAAAAAGTGACAAAAACATCGAAAAGAGTTGAGTAAAATAGGAATCAGGGTAGATAGCCATAACGATTTTTAAGTTAACGTTTTTCAAGGTACAGTTTTACAGTTACACCTATAACAGGACAAATCGATTCTTAAATCCGATGTCTAATCATATTTTTGTATGAATAGGTGTATAATATTTACAATTTTTTTTCTACTTGTGACTATAAATATTTCGGTTCAGGTAGTTATTTTCATATAATTGTGAACATAAATATTTACGTCGGTAAAACATGTCATCAATGGTAATTTGCATCGTCACCCATCTCCACCCATCCGAACAAAATCCATAATAGCCCCGAATGAATCCAATTATATCGTTTTGTTCCGGTGAAATGGAATCATTCTAACCTATGGCGTCCGTTTTTGCCTGCGCCATGTGCTTTCATAATCTTATATTAATAATTCAATGTTCCCTCTATTATAGTAATAAAGTAATATGTCATAAAGAAGCCGGAACTGCGACCAGATGGCTCAGATTTAATATCGCCCCTCGGCGCGCGTCGCGCATCTTCGCCCATCATCGCCGCCCCTCGCAATAAAACCGAGATAAATGAGAGCAGATAATGGGATTTATTAAAATCGCAACGACGAATCGAAGGAGGCCACCCGGAGCCGCTTCCGGCCCGGCCCTGGCCGGCCGGATTTTTTCGGGCCCGCCGCTCCCGGACAAAAATCAATCAAGTCGCTACACGGCATTTACAAAAACGTGTTAATCGCATTACTAATGGACGCCGGGGGCGGCGGGGGCGGCGGAACGCGCACGGCCGGAATCTGGAAGTGACAGGTTTTATAAGGGTGTCGGCCGCCTGTGGAGCTCAGCGGCGTGCGTTGCTGAGGGGCGAGAAACCGAGACAAATGCAGAACAATGCCCGGAGCCGACCGGAAGATTCGGAGATCGGGAGAGGACGGGGCGGGGGAGGGTGAGAGGTATTCAATTTATTGGGGAGAGGGGGTATTATTAGATTCGATTCACTGGGATTATTGGGGTCATTATTGTTTGTAAAAATAAATTCACAATGTTGTGCTATTTCTATTATCAATTATTTATTACTATTTAGTGAGAAGTTTAAATTTGCATTTTTCGTTATTAATGAAAAAAAATGTACCAATGCCCTGCAGTTTTCGTGCTTTAACGTTTTAATTTTTATTAGTGAATTTCTAGTTAATTAATTATAGCTAAAGCCAAAAGCACGCTCCAAATTAAGAAATCAATAAAAGTGTAATATTCTCTTTATATTGGTAGTAATCTTAGAGAAAAGACCAAAAAAAACTTCACTGCAAAGATCATCTTAGAACCGCAGTGCTTCTGGATCTAATTGCTACGTTTCCTGGTCTAGATAATGCACAAAATTTAGATCGCAGGATTTGGTTCCAATAGGATGGAGCACCACCACATTATGACGTAAATGTAAGGATTGTTTGGATAATCAATTTGATGGAATGCGTGGACCAATAGAGTGGCCACCTAGGTCTCCGGATCTGACACCCCTTGATTTTTTTCTACGGGGACATTTAAAAAGTCGTGTTTACATGAACAGACCCGATAATTTAAACGATTTGAAAGCAGGAATTCGTCATGAAATGACTCGTATAAGTCCCCAGAGTATTGTAAATTCAGGCAATCAGGTCTACCATCGTCTGGGTTTGTGTAAGATGGTGAATGAGGAACAGTTTGACAATTTCTATAGTATATATTTTTACTCCAACGTATTGCTGTGTTTATTTAATATTTATCATTAAAATCCAGTTTATTTTGTTTGTTATTAATTTTCACAATTTTTTTGTACAATTTTCTTGACAAATGTTGAAAGATGGAGAGTAAAATAAAAAGCTTGACATGTTTTTGCATTTTTTTTTTAAATCAAATTCTGCTCTCTTTATGAATAAATTTTGTGCTTTGCTTTATCATAGTCCTGTATATTTTACAGTTTTGCCAGAATGGTGAAGAAACGGAAATATTCTAGAGAGGTATATATTCTTATAATTTCCAGAATTGTCAGTTATTAGTATAATTATTATTCTAAAATTTTCTGAAATGAGGGAACTAGCTAGCCTCAAAAAAACCCCAAATCCAAGGTCA